TGTTCCAAGATGCCCAGCGTCTGATTCAGGGCACCGGGTCCTGCCAGGCGCAGCCTCAAGTTTGCCAGCTGGACCTGGCTGGCATGGAGCACAGCCACAGACTGATCCAGGTTTCCTGGGGAAGCAGAACAGGGCATTGACACTAACCTCCATCAGCTCCGTCACAGCTCCAACATCAGCCCTGCTAGGTAGACCAGACTGGGAAATCAACTCCACAGGAACACTGGAACTATTCTGATTGAGTTTGGCTAGCATAACAATTCAAATTGTGCTGGACCTCGTCCCACCCCCACCCCTTATGTTATGAATGTTATCTCGTTACTCTTATTATTTTTCCTTTCATGCACTGTACACAAAGACTGTGTATTTTTTGGGGGGGGCTCAGTTGTTTTAATTGCCTCTTTTTGGGGGGTGCAGTGCAAATCAAGAACTGAATGCTTATCTCAAGCCCTGCCAGAAAAAATCAGGCTGACCTGTTTGATTTCTGCCTGCAGAGAGGCTATTGCAAAGGACCAACTGCAGATAGAAGGAAGAAAAATGGGCACATGAGCTAATTTTTTTCAATGTATTAATTAAAGCAGGCTGGGTTACAAAATCTTGGCGCTGGGAAACCACTGTTAAGGAAGCATCTAGGTTTGTTCCAAGGAAACTCAACCCAAAAGCGATTTATTTATTTTAAAAATCTTCACGGAAAGAAGAGTCTGCCCCCTAGTGGAGATGACTGGAAATCCTGAAAGCTCAACCAGGGAACAGGTGTGTTCCTTGCCAGGTAAAAACTAAATCCCACAGGTATGTTTGATCCACGCCCCCCCCTGCCTTGGATGCCTTTTAAGTCTTGTTACTAACTTACCAACTGCAGTGATTCGTTTAACAACTGTGACAAGAAAGGTTGTAAAATGGGGCAGTTAAGAAAGGTCTCGCTTAGCAACATAAATTTTGGACTCCATTGTGGTCGTAAGTCAAGGACTACCACTAATCACACAACAAGCAAGCTTGGTTTGGGGCTAATTGTGGTTAGTTCAACGTGGCCTTGGCTTGAGGACTCACCTAGCTTGGAGAGCAGATGCTTGAGGGCTTTAATGTCCACCTCCAAGGAGCGTTGGGCCTGTCGGAGGTCCTGGCCGAGCCCGGTCATCTCCACTACGACCTTCCAACAAGACAAGTCTCGTGTTAGTCTCCCCCAGTGGTCCCTCTCCTGATGTCATCCAGGTCGTGGTTGCCCCCAAAGTGCTTTTTCAAAAGGCCCCTGGACTTTGTTTTTCCTTGAAGACGTTTCTCTTCCCATCCAAGAAGCTTCCTCGGTTCTGACTGAACTGAACTTGAGTTTGAACTGAACTTCAGTCAGAACCGAAGAAGCTTCTTGGATGAGAAGTGAAACGTCTTCAAGGGAAAACAAAGTCCAGGGGCCTTTTGAAAAAGCACTTTGGGGACATCCCTGTCCTGATGCGTCTTAGAAAAAGGGACTGACCTCCTCAGGTTTTCCAAGCTGGACCCCAAGTTCTTTGGCCTTGTCTTCCTGTCTGGAGATCTCTGCCGTGGTAAGAGCAATTTTGGCAGACATTTTGCCAGCCTGTTTCCTCTCTTGCTTGGCCTGTCTCAGCACGTCTTCGGCTGCCTACAGAACAGAATAGTTAAAAACGAGAGGAAAATGAGTGCCCCGTTGGGGGATTTCAGAGAGATTAGCCACGCTATTTTCCTTGATCCCAAAATAGCCCTTTTCTTAGCTGCTTTTCCATTCCCCCTTTCTAGACGGGATTTCTTAGTGGTCTCCCATCCAAGAACTTACAAAGTCTAATTCTGCTTAGCTTTTTTCCTTAAAAAAAAAAAAGATTTTTATGAAACAAAGAAATAAAAGATGGACCACAGGAGAAAAAAACTCCCAACCGATACAACATTTGTTTGTGTGTATGCTGTTTCTTAGGATAATTCAAGGTCTAAATCATCCTCAAACCTCAAGAATGTTAAGATGTGTGGTGCTGGATTATTTATTTATTTATTTATTTATTTAATTTAATTTATATGCCGCCCTTCTCCCTGCGGGACTCAGGGCGGCGCACAACATATTTAAAACAAAACATAAATACATTCCCCCCCGATAAAACCGAATTAAATCAAATTTTAAAGTTGTGTCTCTGTCAAATTGCTAAAAAATAAACCCAGTATAAAATCCTCCCTAGGTCAGGTCCGCTTGCTGGAAGAGCCATGTCTTGAGGGCGCGACGGAAGGTAAGGAGATCCGGAATCATCCGAATCTCGGGGGGTAGTTCGTTCCAGAGGGTGGGGGCACCCACAGAGAAGGCCCTCCCCCTGGGGGTCGCCAGCCGACATTGCTTGGCCGACGGCACCCTGAGGAGACCCACTCTGTGGGAGCGTACCGGTCTGTGGGAGGGAATCTGCGGCAGAAGGCGGTCTCGGAGGTAACCGGGTCCTATGCCATGAAGCGCTTTAA